CTTGGTGACAGAACAGCTAACAACTCATCTGACACTTCTGATGGGCCACGTTCTTCAATCAAAGCAATTCTGATTTCAGGACAAGACAAGTTTTGAGTATCTCCAATGTTGGCCGGTCCACGAAGTCACCTGGCAATTTTTCCATTTCCTAATTAAGACTATCCTAATGTTCAGCTGAAAGTGAGTCATCAGTATTTTTGGTAGTGGGGTTAAGTGGTGAGCAACTCAGGAAGATGGAAGAAGGCTAGCTGGATGGAGATATGGAGTGGTGCTGAGTTACAAGCCAAATTTTACCCAAACTTTGTCCTTTGGTCCTTCAGCAAGGAAAACAAGATTTATCCAACTTCTTAGCAGTCATAGTAGAATCATCCATTTTCCTGAAGCACATTGTTCTGGATCAGGGCCTGTATTTTCCTATGTACATGACCTGATTAAACCTTTAACATCAGGTTTGGAGCCAATGACTCTACTACAAGAGTGGGCAATCATTTCTGATGGGGTGGCCACTACAACAAGTGGTAAGTGGTCAAGGGTCATACTTTATTATATTAATAGACGGTGTGAGAGGTCTGGCATGGAAGCTGGATATAGGAGATTAGTGCGCAGTAAGGGATGTGGGTTCTAGGATGGAATTTTGGTGAAAGAGAGGGTTGTGATCTGGGGCAAAAATATTTAGGTGAAGGATCTGAGAAGGGCTTTGGGTGCAAGAGAGGATTCTAATCTGGGGAAGGCAGAAAAGGGGGTGCAGAGTCTTGGGCCAACATATGTGACCACTTTGAGCGGCACATGAGGGTGCGGCAGTCAGGAAGCCTGCTTGAGGATCCCACTGAGCTGCAGGACATTGGCAGCCCAGAGTAATATGACAGGCAGAATCCAGCCCACTGGCTGTATTTTGCCTGGCCCTGTTCTATGCAAATAAAAACATTAAAGATGTCTAATGAACTTTTAAGAAGATTGAGCAGCTTTTAATCTGCTCTGTTCTTACTCTTAATTGCTGCTTTGATACACAAGAGCAATATTATATGATAATTCATGTTCTCACTTGGTTTATGAGCTATCTCTGTGTTCCATATTTCTGAGGTTGTAAGAATATACAGTAAAACTCCAATTGTCCGGCATCCAGTGGTCCGGCACTCCTGATAGTCCAGCACCAACTGGAACCCGGAAGTGCTCCAGCCAACCGGACAATTGGAGCTCCTATGAGCCCCATGCGGGCTCATGGGCCGGGAAAGGGAAGGGGAGGAAAGGGGAAGGGGATTATACCCGTGACCGGTCTGCCGGGACCTGCACTGCATCCAGCTGGGGGGTGGGAACGGCGGGGAACGGCACGGCGAGGGGCGAACCCTCCACCATTTTGCAGGGAGGTGGGGGAAGCCCCGCGCAGCCGCCTGCTACAGGCCAGCTGGGGCTGCAAGCGGCGGCGGAGGAGGAGAGGGGGTGCAAGGGGCAGCACTGTGGAACCAATCCACTAGCACCCCAGCTGCTCTGTCCCGCCGCTTCCCCAAGTCCGCCACCACTGCTTGCAGACAGGCAGCAA